AGGAGAAGCTCTGCAGCCAGCGCCAGCACACCGCGTCCCAGCGAAGTATGGACCATGCACGTAACCAGAGTAGCCATAAGATCTGGCACAAGGCTAAGCAGCTACGCACTTGCAGTGGAAGAGGCAACTTGAGGCCGTAAACAAAACAAACCAAACCCATGAAAGGTTGTGGATGTCTCAGGCTGACACGAAACATCGTCTCCATAAAATTTGAAACTGAGGTGCTGTCACCCTCGAACTCTAAGCTCGTCCTCAATCAATTCAGGTGGGGTTGCAAGACAGTTTCGCGCAGTGCATTTTTTTTTGCAGCGCTGTGCGCACCCATGCGTGCGTGACGATGACGTCATAGGAGCGACTAGTGACACTAGATGCGACCTTGCCTCTGATGCAAGCAAAACCAAACCCACTGGGAAAGGTCAGAAAAGGCCACCTCGACACTTTAAATGCGTGGCGGACCTTCGTAAATACTTATTGTAGAACAAATTTTCCCCGACTGTTAGGAACAGCTCTGTATTGAATATCTGTCAAAAATTTGGGGCAATTATTACTGCTCAGGATAGTCAAATTTAGAAGCTGGCACTTTAATCCATTATATGGCTTGAAAAGGTAGTTTTAATTACTGAACTGCGATGTTGCTGAAACATAATCACGAGGCGTACGCACTTCTGTCAAATTCACCAGCTTAGTGCACTTTTTCGAAAATACACGCACATTAGTTCACGCTAAAGTCTGTCGAAAGTCACTATGTTGCGAAAATGGGCAAACTCAAATTGATTCTGAAAGTTGAGTGGCTGGACAAACCATTGGAAAGTGCTGGGTGCACAATAAACAAGTTTAACATGCCAAAATTGATGATCCAAAAGCGTCGACCACCGGTGATCGATTTGAATAGGCGTGCATGGTAACGAAAGATTTAAGGTACTCGGCTGTAAATCGCTAATATATGTTGAAAATAAAAACTGACGCCTAGTAAAGAGCTACGCTGGAAGTGACGCCAACGAGATGGGATCCCACTACATTAAGAAAGAGGAAGTGTTAAAAACATTAAAGAAAATCGACAATACAGAGAACAAAACAGGGGTGATCAGTGTGTGGCTTTTCTAAAAGAACGAAATAAAGAAACCGACACGAAGCTAACTTTCAGGCGCGCTTGATGCGTGCACGCGTGTTTTGAAATTCTAGGGCATTTGGAATCAAAATGGGACAATCGCTGACTGTAAGACGTGAACTTAAAAATGAAGTTTCAAATAAAATAAAATCAGCCAACTTTTGCGCCGGTTTGAATTATATCCAAGAAAAATATGCTGCGCCACTAATTGTATCTAACATTTCCGATGTGTGTCCTAGTTGCTTTGCTCACATGCGATTTCGTTAACACGACTAGTTAATTTTTTTGAGGGGGGGCGATTATAGGTGCTTACTGAAGGGCATGGTCTTGTAGTGAAAAGCTTGATCGAAAATATTAAGAGGCTGAATTTCCTACATAAATCTGTCTTTTAGTGTTCTTTTTCATATTTTGAACTCCAGTTTAATGCACCCCCCCCCCTCTTTTTTTGCTACTAGACGCCATATTTGAAGTCAAAGACAACTGAAGTGAAGCTATGGGCACCAATAATTTTCTTGAAGAAGAAGAAAAATTAATCTGGAAGAACGTCACGTGCAAAAAGTGCTGTGAAAAAGAACAAGAAGCCGAACAAGAAAGAGAAGAGCAGATCGAAAATTTTTAATGAATAAGGGTGGTTTTGATTTTGAGTATCAAAATTAGCATCATTATTGTATTAGAAATGATGTATTTGTCACAAAATGGAAAGAAACCGCCGCTTCTGAGAAACGTTAAGTGAACGACCCGTGAATGAAGCCCGGCGAAAAGGCACGAAACTAGACCTGTGTGCCGGTGCCAAAACCATCGGCGGTGGCGCGTCACCGCCGTGGGGTTCATTGGATCAGCGGCGGCCTTGCGTGGGGGAGGTAGATTCAAGAGTTATTGACGATAAAGATTTCTTTATAGAATAAAGAAGAAGTGTGTTCCACCAAAAAAGCGAAGGGCACAGCAATAGGAACTTAACGTTATTTATTTACCAGTACTGCTGTGTCAGTTTTTGAAACATAGCAGGTGTAAATACAGCTATTCAGCACCTTGAAACACACACACACACCACACACACACACACACACACACACACACACACACACACACACACACACACACACACACACACACACACACACACACCACACACACACACACACACACACACACACACACACACACACACAATTTAGCAAAATGCACGTTTACGCACATTTTCTTTCCAACTACTCAGCACACACTCTGCGGGGAGACTCAATCTCACTCGACAAATCAACGTTCTCGAATGAAAAAAAAATCTGGATATATCTAACGAGTAAAACGTTTAGGGGATCTTTAAAGGGGTAAGAACTTTTGCTGGTTGTCAGGTGTTCATGAATATTTCATTCTTAAGGCATATAAATGTCACTCGTGTTTTAGCAGCGATCTGTCCTGCTGTTTTTTTTTCTGGCGTTTATTCATACTGGTTTTACGAAGAATTTAGGGGATAAAATTGACGGGTATGGTGGGCAGATGATGCATTGACGGATATGAGTGCTATGACACTCGAACTGGTGTGAACTATCTGATGCAGAAGCCCCGCCGCGGTGGTATAGTGGCTAAGGTACTCGGCTGCTGACCCGCAGGTCGCAGGATCGAATCCTGGCTGCGGTGGCTGCATTTCCAATGGAGGCGTAAATGTTCTAGGCCCGTGTGCTCAGATTTGGGTGCACGTTAAAGAACGCCAGGTGGTCGAAATTGCCGGAGCCCTGCACTACGGCGTCTCTCATAATCATATGGTGGTTTTGAGACACAAACCTACATATCAATCAATCATCTTATGCAGATGTGTGACACAATTGCAAGTGCACTGATCTTAGAGGCGGCCCCGATACAACATGCCCATATGAATTACGCGAGCAATGCTGGTCGCACCGAAAATATATAAACCTTAATGCTTTTTGTCAATAGATGCTAACATAGCTATGTCGTGTCAGTGGTGATGTCACCAAACAACCAACGCATATTTGAGTCTGGCCAAAGCCTTATGTGCTCTCACTCCGCATTTTTTTGTTGAGTAAATGGCTTAACGTGTGTCGGAGAAACCAGCGTTTTCGAGAGCTTGTTTCAGACTGTTTCGACGGGTTCTGTCATTTTAAGTTTGTTTCGAGAGTAACACCAATGTATTTAAACTCTGTAGCATGTACTGGACTTACACCATCATTAATACATTTAAAACTAAAAGGCTGTTTCTTATTTGAAAAAGTCGTGACATGGGTTTTTTTCAAGTTAATATACATTAGCCATGTTTCCCTCCAGTTACAAAACATCAAAAGTAGACTATTCAGCGCATCATGATCTCGAGCATCGGAGATGATTTTAGAGATAACGCAGTCATCTGCATACAGCCTAGATTTAGTTTGAGTGTTCACCGGCTTGTTCCCTGAGCCACTGTGCTCTCTTCTTGTCTCTTACCATTTTTCTTTCCATTGCTCACTGCGTCGTCCTCAATTTAAGCTAAACCCTCTTTGTAAGTCTCCAGGTTTCTGCTTCATAGCTAAGTACTGCAAGATTCAGCTGTTATATACCTTCCTCTTGAGGGATAATGGTAATCTACCTTTCTTGATTTGAGAGTGCTTGCCAAATGTGCTCCACCCCATTCTTATTCTAGTTACTTCAATCTCGTGGTTCGGTTCTGCGGTTATTACGTGCCTTAAGTAGACATTGCTTTTTACAGCTTGAAGTGCACTATTACCTATCTCGAAGCGCTGCTCTCTTCCGAGGTTTTTGTACATTACTTTCGTTTTCTGCAAATTGATTGTAAGACCCACCTTTCTGCTCTCCTTGTCTATGTCCGTAATCATGAGGTTGCAATTCGTCCTATGAGTTATTTAGCAATGCACTATCATCGGCGAATCACAGGTTACTAAGGTACTCTCCATTACCTCTTATCTCTAACTGTTTTGGTAACTATCTACCAACAAGTACAACGACAAGTGTTACTGCAACGACCTGATTCGCTGTCTCAATACTTTAGGCAGCAGTGTGAGAGACCGATCGTTGCTGCTGCGTTTATATTATTTGTTTTGCTTGAGACTGTTCATTGCATCTTATCATTGACATCAACAACAGTTCGCAGCAGGCTGAATGTTGAAATGTGTAAAAATCAAAACACCTCTCTAATTTAGGTATTTTGTGATAGCATGCCAAGTGAAAACCAAGGCTGATCACAAAATTTCACTAATGATTCTCCGTGAAATAAGGAGCCTGAACAATTTTTGGCATGAACATTTTTTCCCAGACCGCAATAAACACGACTCTTGAAAAAGCATACTTAACGGAAACCATTTTATTACAGAGTTTTCTGACGGACATACTGGACATGTACACATGAACAAGGATGCTACAGCAGTGGCATTTCACCAGGTCCTGAAAGCATCAAACAAACATGTTCGTCACATTACATTCTGCACAACACATGACTGACTGCAGATCTAGTCCATGAGAGGCTCAGGTTTTCATTAAGTTTTTGTCTCTATAAAACTACGTTGAATGAATATAACAAAAAAAGATGGTTATCAGTGATAAAAACGGTCCATTTTTACTTAGTTTGTCCGAACTTAATTTAGACAAAACCAATCAGAAAACATTTCATATATGCATGCAATGCAATCATCTGGTCATCAGACAACAGCAACATCAGACAATCAACATTCATCAGACATATTCAATACCATTCTTGCAAACAGCTGAGCCTGCAACAAAATTCGCTTAGCCACAATATAGCATTTTTTTGCTTTGAAGACTAGGAAACATAACCCACCAAATGTCTTTTCTGCAAGAGCGCGTCTTGTCACCAGTTGTAAAAAGGAAATAATGACAGCCTTAACGAAACACATTACCTGAGCAGCGTCAGAAGTGGTACCTACATTTAGCCATGGTGATGAACTCCACCAACTCCAACACCAGCCGCATGCCCATGAGAGGAGTGTCCGAAGCCGGCTTGATGTCCTGCGACGCTCTTCTCGAAACCCGAAGAACCTTGGTTGAAACCAGTGCCGAATGTTTTGCTGTCACTGGACGAGAAGCCAGAGCTGTGGCTGAAGCCCTGCTTGTGGTTGAAGGCGTTAACCTTGCTGTGAGATGCTCCCCCGGTGAAAGCTCCGGAACCCTGGTTATGTCCAGAGGCACCACCTTGGTATCCAGACTGGTGACTTCCAACAGAAGATCCGTAGCCAGATTGGTAGCCAGCGCCAGCGCCATGACCAAGGCCGTGGGCAATGCCGTGGCCAAAGTCATGTCCCAAAGTGTCTCCAACAAGTGTTGGGTTGCGAACGATTCCGGCGCCCGCGACTCCAGGACCAACGAGGGCAGGACCGGCGATGCCTGCTCCGCCATACCCAGAACCACCTAGACCAGGTAGGCCAGTTCCGGCAAAACCAGATCCACCCAGACCGACTCCTCCAAGTCCAGCACCGACAAGGCCAGGGCCTACTCCAGCACCGACAAGACCAGGGCCTACTCCAATTCCACCAAATCCGACTCCAGCACCCAGGATTCCTCCACGTGCCTCAACGTCCTTCTTCTCATTCTTTTTCGTGTCTTCAGCGAATACAGCGCAAGACACGAGGGCCCAAACTGTGATGCTTACAAAGAACTGGGGTTGCAAAAAAAAAAGAGACAGAACTGCCATTGACGTTATCAAATTCTCACTTTGATTCAGGCTAAGTGAATGCATATTTCAGGTTTATCGGTACAGACTGGGGCCCCAGAACAGTGTGAAAAAGGTGCAAAAATATTCATGGTCAATGAGAGGTAACCGTCAATTCTGCTAAAAGTTTATAATGAATGAAGGTGGTGCTCGCCTTACGTATAAATGGTTCAGATAATGTTAATACTTTAATATGCATTGCGCAGGTGATAAAAAGATGTTTCGGGCACTAAAGAACGTAATACCAAGCAAAGCTATCAAATATAGTAGTAACAGAAGTAGGATGCCTTATATTGCGTAGAAGTGACGTAGTAAAAGAGAGATTTCTGCTTTAGAGAGTGACCCGTAGGTAACTTAAGCTTTCTTTTCAAATGGCTTTGATGAAAACACCTATATACTGATGCAATATTGCGGGAAGGTGGAATTCGTAAAGGGTAATAAGACATATAAACTCAACATCTACATTAATTTTCTCATCAACGTTCTTTCAAAATATCAGTAGGCATACGAAGTCCTTAAGATTTGAAGAGTTCAATGAACGAAAGTCTAGTGAAAGAAGGGCGCCTACAAAGCACCTTAGTTGAATGGTATTTTTTGCCTGATATGACGACTTTATTGCGTAGTATGGCTTTCGTGATGAGCAGCTAAATCATGATATTCAAGAAAAACTTGAAAAGCGAAAAAAATTATGTTTTTCAGGTAGACCTACCCAAAACGTAAGTTAACAATTTTAATGAGCCGCCATATATTAGAGTAGTTGGAAATAGTTAAGTGCACTTACTTTCATGGTAGCCACCGCTGTGTACAGCTGTTGATTCACGAGGGCTGTCTTTGGTTCGACAACAGGGCCTTGGTAGCGAATGAATCTCGAACCAAAAGCGACTGGCTTTTATACATTCAGCCAACTCACCTAAGGCCTGTCGTATGACCCCAAAATATCGAAATAGACAGAACAGAACCGTTTATTAGTTCTAGGAGGGCACTTGGGGGCGCGCCTCGTTTCCTTTTTTAAAAAGAAGGCTCGCCACAGCATAAGATGATAGCGCTCCTCTCTTCTGCTTTCCGCGTACTGGAAGACTCGCCTTCGTTTCAGGAGGCCATTTCACTTCAGCAAGTCAAGCCTTCCCGTATCCCGAGAAAGCGTGTTACAGTGTCGGCGGCAGTCTTCAATCTAGGAACGACGCGTAACACGGCGTCCGCAGGCTTACGCAAGTTCACCGGCCGCTCCGATGTATTCATGAGAATAAACATTTCGTTTCGAAATATTTTGTTTGGTTGGTTTGCATTTGTTATTGTCTTTGCACGCTTCGTGGCACTAGCCTGAATCAGTTTGTTGCGTTGTAGGGCGACGCGCGTGGGAGTGATCAGTTCCGGTGTTTCCGCTCAGGGACGTCACTGAGCTTCGAGGTGTTCCTGCCACGCCCTCACACGTTTGGTCGCCGATAACTGAAAGCGGAGGTTGGCACCATTTCATCGGAGCAAAGTGAAAGAGAAATTTCATGCGGAGCAGCATTCATTCAGATCAACGACGGGGGCGTTTGAGGAATTAATGTGGACGAATGCACACACAAAAAAAGGCTGCACTATGACGACCAAGAAATTATATGGAAAGCCACATAGATGCCTGAACCACTAATTACAGCAGTCAGGAAGCTCAGTTTTCAAGCAATGAATTCTAGTTTCTCTCGGCACGTTTTTTTGCATCTATGTCTTGTTGAGGAACGTTCACTGTGGTGACAATTAAAACAACACACACACCCCGATTAAGAGCAGAGAAAAGTATTAAGTTTCGGCCCCCGTACGGGAGCTTTGTTTGCAAGTGAAAAAGGACTAGATGAGCGGCCCTGTTAAGCATCGTATAAATGTAACGTAGACAACTTGTGTAGGCGTCTAGAAAGTTTCCGTCATTTCAACTGAGTGTGTGTGCCGTTGTCTGTATCTAGATAGATTCGAGATGAAGCCGAGATGAGCACTTATTAAATGCGAAGTATTTTTTCGCGTACTTCTGACGCGCAGGTCAGCACATAAATAATGTCACAATCTTGTCGCGCACGTCTTCAAGCATATCCCGCCAGACAGTGACACAGACCCGCGGATGGCTATGTGCCACTGATATACGGGTATGTGCCACAGGCGATTGAAACTTAGCATGTACTCAGCAACGACGAGAACACACATCGACAAGTTTAACGCGTGAGCGTCAAGAAAAAAAACCTGACATCGGCAGCGTTGAACCGACGAATGCAAAGAAATAATGTCTGAGTCCCAGCAGGAACCGAACCCAAGGATTCCACATGTCGATCGAGCATTCTACCACAGAGCCACGACAGGCCTCGGACCTGCTTTTCAAATAGTCCCCCAATGTTCGTGAAACGTCAGTTGTTGTTGCAGTGCTGGCTATCTAATTTTATAAACCTTACATATGCACTCTTTTGATACAGCCATTACGTCGGGTTAACGTCACTTGTAATTAGGCGTCGTGTGCCCCGGCGAGCACCAGCGCTTCAGCCTATCGCTTCTGGTGTTGCTAATACTCATGTTCCTGTTGGCATCGTTGCGCAAGTGCAAACAACTGATTGTATAAACATCTGCAATTATTTTGAACATATGTCTGTGTGTGCAACATTTAAACATATATTTAGCGCATTGCATGAACTGTCGCTCAATAACGAAATTACAACACGGCCAGCTTCCGTCCGCATGCTTCGCATAACGTCGATTTTCAAAATACAAAATTCTCTCTTTCCGTTATTTTTGCGTTATCCGAGTATATTGTGTGCCCTGATTTTTCCGCGTACTCTTAAAGCGCATTCATTGAGATCTTCTTTTTTACGTCATACATATTAACCACCGTATTGGTGCGAAAATAAAAGCCATTCACAAGTCATTGTCGTATGCTGCTTAAGCCTTTGTGGAAAATTGCTAGTCCCGCCGGTGTAACTTCCACTATAGTCTACTCATGGGATGTTGCAGACAACGCCTGAAATTTTTTTTTTGGCAGCTTGTCTTTTACTCTCACAAGGGAATGTCACAACTTGTTTGTTGGCACGTGGACTACCTGCATATCGTAGGAGCGTAGAACACGCGCAAAGTGTTTGCTGATGCCAGGAGTATATCGCACATAAAAGCGTTTCCTTGCTATTGTGGTTGCTTCGGCATGCCGTACGACATGCTGGAGGGAAACAGCACAAAATAGGAGAGATCAGGCAAAGAAGGACACATAAAGGAGCGCTTCTTTAGCGCGTACATCCAGAACGTGGTGAATGTGCTAGCTGACGTTTCACAGAGTGGACGAACGAGTCAGCGTAGCCACTTTGGGAGAGCAAGAGAGATTCCGATGCACATGCTCCATGTCGGCAGTGAAGTCCACTGATTTTAGGCAACCTGTCTTGATGCTAGTATTCAGTGAGGTGACTACGGACTTTTTGTGGTAAACTGGGTTGACGGAATTGAAATTGAAATAGTGATCAGTGTGGGTGTTTTTTCTGCAGACGCTGAACAGCCCACCTGCTCTTTCACGCTTGACGAGGATGTTTAGGAAAGGAAGTTGACCGTGCTGCTCCTCCAGAACTGTAAACTTGATTGCTGCATTCATGTCGTTCAGGTGTCCAGAGAATGTATTCAATGTCCAAGTAATGATTATGCTGAAGCATTCATCAACATAACGTAAAAAGGCCTTGGTTGCAGGACAAACTGAGCCGAGTGTGTGTTGTTCAAGACGCTCTATCATCAGATATATTGCCATTACTGAGACGACGGCACATATTGCTGTTCTGTGTATCTGCTTGTAGAATCAACGCTCGAATTTGAGTACGAATTATCGAGGCAAAACGTGAAGAGGCGCCGCAAATCCTGGACTTCAATAGCTGTACGCATGCCCCACCGCGGTGGTCTAGTGGCTAAGGTACTTGGCTGCTGATCCGCAGGTCACGTGTTCAAATCTCGGCTGCGGCGGCTGCATTTCCAATGGAGGCAGAAATGTCGTAGGCCCGTGTGCTTAGATTTGGGTGCACGTTAAAGAACCCCAGGGGGTCGAAATTTCCGGAGGCCTCTACTACGGCGTCTCTCATAATGATATGGTGGTTTTGGGACGTTAAACCCCACAAATCAATCAATCAATCAATCAATCAATCAATCAATCAATGGGTGTATGCATGGGTCATGTTGCGTCACTTTCGAGGGCAGAGACACATGCGTCAACTGCCAATGCGCAGGTATGTTAGTGAATGAATACTGGACGTCAAAAGACACCAGGATGTTGCCATCCTCAAGAGCGATGTCGAACACTTTGTCTATGAAGTCGCCGGAATGTCGGACATACGTGCTGCTTATGCCGATAAGTGGTCGCAGCACCCAATGCAGGTACCCGGACAGCTTATGAAGCTGGGACGTTAAAATCCACATAACAACAGCTTATGAAGGGGTGAGCGAGTGTAATCTACGATGGGGCGCATTGTAACCTCAGGCATAAGTCTTGGGAAATTCGTACAAGGCTGGCGCAGAACCATTATGGCAAAAGAGGGAGCATAGTACAGTGGCTTGTGTTGAGGAAAAACGCAACTAAATACGTCAGAACGAAGCTTTCAAAAGTCCCGTTGCAGCTTCAACGTGGCTACTTCGCAAGACATTGGCACGTGCTGCTGTCTGAGAGCAGGGCCATAATTTTGTTGTGGCAATCGGCTTTATCAAGTAAGACTGTAGCATTGCATTTGCCAGTAGGGAGCACCAATATTTGGTATTCTTCCTAAGGCATTTTATCGCTGCGTTTTCTGCCAGATAGAGCGATGAGAACGACACTTGAGGCTGAAGTCGTGAGAGGACACCAATGGCTCGAATTCGAGCCTTATCACGTCTGGAGGGTTCAACTTGCATCAACGTGTTTTTCAAAGCACACATCACTTGTATCGCGTTTGTCGTGGAACCCGCATTATAGTTCAGCCGTAGGC